CTTCGTCCCTTTTTTGGCTTTTGTGTTTTTTTTTTAATATTATTATTATCTTTAATTACTTACTATAATTGTTCTGTCTTCCGCTCTTCAAGCGCTGCCCATTTTAGTTTCAACTAAATTAATACTCATTTATTGAGTGGAAGAAGGATGCGAGTGGGTGACGAGTATTTTTTGGCACTCCCACAAGAGGGAAAGTAACGTTTATATTAAAGATTTAGCTGTAAAAGGTAAAGTTTAGCTTGGTTTAAAGAAAGTTTTTTCTATCGTGTTTTTAAAATTTTGAGCCTAAAACTTGATAGAAAACATCTCCCGAAAGTTTTTGTAATTGTCAGTTGAATTAGGGAGTTAAGAATATCCATAAATAATGTCAAGAATTCATTGTTTAGCATGGATTTCGGTTTTTCTTTATTAAAACTCGGCATTTTATTAAGTATGATAGTTTATTTCTTAATAAATTTTAGCTATGAAAGTTTTCGTCACTCACTACAGTGTTTAAAACGTTACTTTGAAATGGCAAAGTGAAAAAAAAAAAAATTATATTTTTCTAACGAATGAAGGTTTATCATTGATAGAGTGTGACAGACAGACAGTAATAGCAACAGGCATGTAGAAAATACATTCGTTCGTGAAACGGAATCAAATTACACGGCTAAATATGCAAATTTTTACAGAAATAAATATCGAATATCTAAAAATGGTTTACGGGATTCGAAGATCCGCGATGATAATTGGATAAATATCTGTTTATATAACATCTCGAACCAATCACGGAAGAGTTATTACTAATTTTACGGCCCTCGCTGTTTTTCTGATATTATGTAAGATAAAGGACAACGAACGACTTTTATCTCTAATTTCTGAGGTGTCGTAAAAGTGGCAGATCTTTCTTTGCCCGTAACTTTTATTCTTACAAGTTAGAAAAAGTGTTCGCCTCATCAAATGATATTATAATTGATATACAAAACACTAATTATTGAACACTAATATTCAAAAAGTACTGTAATTTTTGAAAATAGCTTCTTTTGACTATAAACAAAATGTCTTTTTTAAAAATTTGGAGTGTTTAGACACTTTCTATCACTTTAAATCTTACTTTTTTGGAACATTTTTTATTCAAGATGGCGATTTTTAATCTTTTTCGTATAAAAAACCTATCAATAATCAAGCAAACAGCACACAAAGATTGTTTTCGGGTCCCGGTAAAGCCGAAATTCAAAATTAATCGCAGAAATTCGCAGGGTTTTCGCTTGTATTTAGTCATAATACCCGAATTTCTTTATTTCCTGTAGCTCCTGGTGTAATTCCATATCCATTGCGGTAATGGCAATCTTTTGAATTACATTTTAGATTTAAAAAAATTAAATTTGTTCAGAATTATTTAAAGTATATAAAACTAAAATATTAAATACTTTAAATTTTCGTATAATAAAAACGAATGTAAGTTTTAAAATTTTTGAAAATTACATTAAAACCTCATCCTTATATCAGAATCTATAGAGCAGAATAATGGCGGTTTATACATAAACAAAATTATTTGTAATTTAAAATTATTTACGTATTAATATCATAAAATTAAATTCAAACAAATTAAAGTTTATATCGAGTGGAAACACTCAAAGTTTTATTAATAAAAAAAATAAATATAAAAATTTAAATAGTATGATTTAAAATTACGCTAGGTGAAGTTAAGTCGTTTAGACTAAATATGGCGAATAAAAAATTAGGCCTATATTTTATTTGGTAAAAAAAAAGCTAATTAAGAGAAATATTTTTATTAAATAAATAATTAGAATTACAGAAAAATAAAAAAATAATAATTAAATTTAGAATAGTTTACACAAAAATATAGCGAAAATTTATCTTGATTTATAAAATACGGTAATGGCAGACGTCGCTTTCAAAATTATAAAATAATGGATTTAAAAGAAAAATATAATTTTGAGTATAAATTTTACTTTAAAACTTTATAAAATATAATAATAATATTTCTATTTTATGCGAAACTTAACTGATAATATTTTAATTATATATTCTCAACTAGTTACGATCTCTATGATACGATAATGCAGGACCATAGATTAATGAATATATAACAATAAATATCCACTAATCTATGGAATAATTATAGATTTAATATAGCTATAATAATTTATATATATACTTGTATAAATTATAATAACTATAGAGCAAATGTATAATGCTATCGCTATTTAAGTCATAGATATCGATGGCATTTATAACATCTCAAACACTAGATCGCGAGCGACATTTAACATTATAATAAAGTCACTAGCTAGAAAGGTTGGTAAACGCCTTTTTTCCACTGTAAGCGCTGGCATACGAACCCGCGACTCAATGGATGCGTTTTTAGAATATAAACCCCGTTTTAGCGCGGGGAAGATGCCTCACTTTAGGGATTTAAACACCCATTTCGGAGATTTTAAAAATCTCGGTTGGAGTGCCCATCTTACCCCCATTTTTAGGGTAAGATGACACAAAATCTCGATCCTTCTTTGTAGTGTAAGAGTAAAATATAACCCATACTTAGCCAAAAATCCTCGTGTCAGACAAACAACTCATTTGTAATCTTGCAAATTGACAGGATTTCTTCCGGGTGTGTGTCTTGTGTTCTTCCATGTGTCAGCAATAAATCTTCAAAATTATCGACGAGTGTGACGTAGTAACGATGACATTTCGAATAAACCAGGCATACGTCCCGACAAACGTACAGACACAAGAGCAATTCCATTAATTACTTGGTATTCTAGCGATTTATACGCGCAAATTCGCGTTTTATGCCCTCGTTCGAGTGTTAAAACTTTGTTTTAATTGTTAATATCGTAGGGTAGAGTGAACAGCGAGTGACCCCCCCCTCTGCTACTAACTCGATTTAAACTGTGCATTAGTTATTTTATGAGTGATATTAAAAGTTAATCTCTTTTCCGAAGTTCTCCGTCGGTTTGGGTCCGAACCCGCGACAGGGGGGTTGACAGATGCGTAGTGTTTTTGCAATTTATAAAGTTTTCTGGTTGTTGCAAAAATCCTCGAGACTTTTTTTCGCCGGGGTTGAAAAATGGCACGTCTGAGGGTTGAGAAGTGCGGTGGAGACGGCCGCCGGCCAAACAGTGAAGCACGTTTAATGGGTCGATACCGTGTTTAATAAATAGCGCCTTTGTCTGGCTCACAAAGGCTCTTGTTTGCCTTGTACGCGCTCGTCGCCGGGAATGTGGACTACTTGTTTACACTGTGTACCTTACTCCACGTGATAATCTAATGCAAAGAGATCCGTCACACCAGATTTTTCCTCAAAGTGCACCTTTAAATAACTCGATTTGACCCTCGTTTGGCATTCGGGGGGGGTAAGATGGCGGCACCATAACCCAATTTCGTGCTAAACGATCGACGAGCGCAAATAAACTTTACGTACATAATGCGAAACAATGAGCTTTGACCATCAGAAAATGGGGTGGACCTTCGTGACGTCATATGTAGAGCCCCGTTCTTCCAAGTCGTACGAGTTGAATTTGTCACCCGGGATAGAATTTCAGAATGACTCTCTCGGGAAAACAAATAACGGATTCGCTTAATAAAAGGAGGGTTTTGTATGCTTTAAAGAGTTGGAAAACGGGGGGAAGCGCATAACGTGACATTGAACAAGAAGGGATAACAGTAATTAGGATAAGTGACATTACATTCGATAATTTTTGCATGACAATCAGACAAACAGACTTACAGGTGTATTCTAATCGTTGAAAGATGCACGACTTTCCGGTAAAGATTAATCTCAGAGGTTGTTCCGGAGGAGAAATCTCTTGTTATATCTTGTACGCACGATTTCGCTNCTGATTCTTTTCGCCCTTTCACACGGGAAAGCTCCTTAACAAATTCTATACTTATACGTAACAGCTTTAGTCCCGCAGTAATCGAAGCAATTTGAATTTAGGATAAGTGACATTACACTCGATAATTTTTGCATGACAATCAGACAAACAGACTTACAGGTGTATTCTAATCGTTGAAAGATGCACGACTTTCCGGTAAAGATTAATCTCAGAGGTTGTTCCGGAGGAGAAATCTCTTGTTATATCTTGTACGCACGATTTCGCTCTGTTACGCTTCGCCGCCGTATTTTGTATAATCTTTCCGTTACTCTCTTTGTTACGCCATTTAAAATATCGAACGAACTGTAGAATGCTGCTATAAAAACACGAATAAGCTTTTATACGGGTATTTTTTTCCTGTATTAATTATTGGAATTTTTTTAACCCGTTGTCCTTGTGTAACAGGTTATATCACAGGGAAATACTGAGATAAAAGTCTGTCAAAACGTACGTAAAAACTCTATGGATTAGGAGAAAAGCCCGTAACACGGGGAGATGTAAGAAGAAAACTTTATAACATACCGAAGTGTAGGGAAAAACCTCCCTAACGTGCTTTATAACGTACGTAACGTGCTTTATAACCTGTGGCATTCGGACGAGTAAACTTTAGAGAAGGTTTACCAGCCGCACATTTCCGATCGATAACGTTTTCGGAAGCGATCGTAACCGAATGAGTAATAGTATACAATTAATGCAAGGGATTATCCAGCGTAACTTAAGTTAATATTTAGAATAAAGTAAGGGGAGGACAGGTTGCTGCAGTTATCCGAAGACGGTGGTAATTAATGAAGTGTTGTGGCCGTCCGTCACCGTCTAGCGGGTGAAAAATGAGACTGTCAATCGACTGACGTCACGCGGTTGGGCGATAACGAACGACAACAATAAATAACGAGTGGGTGTGCAAAAAACACGAGCGAAACAAAGAAAGCCTTTGTTTTAAATAGGCGAAATTCCATTTTATTTCAACGGAGACTCAAAAAGAAGAGGGGTCGGAAGTAATCGGAAGAGAGGCGTTGCTGGTAGAGGAAAGGCACGCCCCGAAATCTGGATAGGCACGCCCACCGGATACTAACCACCCCGGGTTATTTTCTCAGCGGTTTTCTAGAAGATAATCGGGAAGATAACGGAACGCTCCAACTCCCATTCTTCCTTCAACCTCCGATCTCCAGAAGTTTTGGGTGAGTGTTTGCTTTGTCTCGCGCTCTTTTTCACCCCGTTTTACCGGCTAAAACGCGTTTTAGTAGTTCGTACGTAAACCCCTTAACTACGCCATTGGCGCTTTATCCGAGTTAATTTAGTTTCGGGTCGAAGCTTTTTGAAAAATTCACGCGGCGGAGGCGATAACCGAGATTGGATATCGGGAGGGGAATGAATAAAATATGGCTGCGGGTGACCTTTAAAATATTTATATCTTTAGAAATTGTCGCTTTGTTAAGCGGACTCTTCGCTCGTGTACTACGCGTTGAGAAACTATTTTAGGAATTCAATACCTTCTCGGAGTTCTCATTCTTTAACCTCTTCAAAGTAAAAAGACTCCTCGAGTGATGGAGTTAAAGAGTATATGATAGAGACACTTAACCGGAGAAGAAACATTCCCTAATTTCTTTGTAAGTGAAACAAGAAAATCCCCAAAAAGCATTACATTTTCTTCTTCTTCGAAAGCCTTTGAGGAACGGGAGATATAAATGCTCTCTTCTAAAAGAGGAGCGTGCCTTTGTTTTCACTCCATGGAAGAGTTTTTCTCCCTTAATTCTCTTCCTTCTGTAATTGAGAAGGAAAAAAGGAGAGGAAGTTCTTTCGAATGAGTATTAGCCTAATTTTTGAGGAACCGCAATTGTATCTGCAGCATCTTTGTTAGAACTGAAACTCGTGGAAACAGTTTACCAGCTGTTGGGGATGGAGTTCTATGACGTCTCTGCGAATCACCTAGTAACTTCTCTATTGTAGTGAATTTGGGAGTTGAGAATGGGTCCTATAATTTCCGAACTCTTCTATAAATGTTCGATGAACAAAGGATATAATCTGTTGTTTGTAACATAAGGTTTTCTTTTGTTTTTGATGGTAAGCGAGGTGGGTGGATCGCAATCGACTGAAGAGGAACCGATCGTTGCAATTTATCTTATTTTCTCACTTCTACAAAGGAAAATAGGAAGAAGGTCGTAATTTTTCCTATTTGTCATCATGTTTTTATCTTGGCGACTTTATATTATCTGTGGTTTAATTTTTAATCTTCTAATAACGTGGCGCGGTCATCCGTTCGAAAGTTATTCTCTCCAGAAATACATCTTTAATTACATCACATCCGGTCTTTTGCGCCCTTCTTAAATCCACAGGAGGCCTACAATTAGAAAAAAAATGGAAGGATTAAAATATAAGATGTATGAAATGGAGAAGAGCGGGTGATACTCTCAATCACTTCAATCTCAAAGTGAAGTTGATGAAGATGAGTGTATAAAATACACATCCAGACCTCCTTTATAAAGATTAGAGGGGTGCTAAAGATGTTTTGATAAATAAAAAAGACAAAAAATCGTGTCTTTTTACTGAGTTCGGGGATCCTACAACGGATATGGTCCCTATTGGGTGTTGGGAACAGGTGTCGATTGAAGGATGTGTCTTTACTGAAGAATCCTTAAACTTCTCGATTGATCGCAAGACTTTTCACAGTATTTTCTCTCTTATATCTTCCTATTCTAAACTAAAACTGATTCTTTTCGCCCTTTCACACGGGAAAGCTCCTTAACAAATTCTATACTTATACGTAACAGCTTTAGTCCCGCAGTAATCGAAGCAATTTGGATTTATCCCCGACCTTAAACGCGTCACAATACATTTCCAGATTTCCCATTTAGAAGCGCAATACGAGGAAATCCGCAATCCCCCCCACTTTCCCGTTGATTATAACCTTATGTCGCGCGTGTCTGCATAGTCGCGTCGTTCTGCGTAACCGAAGTGACACAAATCACCCCCATCCGAGTCGGAAGTTACGCGATTAGATCCGACTCTAATTCGATCAACGATAATGTTATTAACTTAAGAGGATCGTCTCGGAATCATAACGTCATCGTTCTCTGCCCTTTACTCTCTCTTTTTTCTCCGGTTTCTCGCGCAATTAACTCAATTAACTCCGCGTGAAACGTGTTTAAAAACGTGTAAATTCCGAATTGTTGTTCCGGTTTGCCCGAAAGAAAACAATGGAAACCGAACTTTCTCCTCTTTACATTAACTTCTATCGTCTCTTCATTTAATTCCTTCATCTAATTAACTCTTTGAGTGCTTCTCTTTGGCCGATCGTGTTCTTAGAAATGGTATTAAATGGCCATTATTCTTTTAATCCGTCTAAAAGACAAAGTTCTGTGACTTTTCTAAGTAATTTTGGATATATCCGCCATTTTTTTTATTGTCAAACGGGGCAAATAGATGGCGTCTGGTTCGAAAAACCAGGAGTTTTTCGAGAGTGGTGTGTCGGGCCCGTTGCGGGCCTGGCAAAACCCGTAACGGGCTGGCTAATACAGGCTCTTTTAGTGCCCACGGAGATTAGAGTTTAAAAAAGGGGTGCATAGCGGAGGCGTGTCTTCCTCTAATAGGGCCGAAATTTGTAATTTAAGTCGAGTTGTATTTATTAATATAACTTAATTTATCCAAAAGTAAGTTACCTGTCGCGTACTAAAGTCATTACGTCGGGCCGATAACATAAAAGACAATAATGCGGAATAACGTATAGTGCCATCTAGTAGCTGGAAATGGTATAAAAAGTTTCGAAGTATGCGAAAAGAGTTTTTATTATATTCTAACCTGGCATAAATTATGTAATTCTAATACCGTTATAAAAGCCCCATTGTTCACGGTGTTTAGTTTATGCACAGTTTAATATTCCATTGTTCAATTCGGTTGAGCCTCACTCCAAAGTTTTCCAATACATCGGTAATTTTCAGGGGTGTAGGTAAGTAAAATGAGGTCTAGAACACATTTCTAGAGAGTAATATTTAAATTTTATAATATAAGATATGAATTCTAGCGGTATTTCTGTTCGTGAAGCTAAAATTATCATTTGAAATCTATAAAAAGAAAAATTTAAAGCGATATTTTATTGCAGAAAGGTAATAAAATTGAGTAAAATGTGAGTCTGCTAGTGAAAACGGATGAGATATCTAGTTAGAAACACGAACAAATCACCTTACTCTATAAGAAACAACACAATATCGCCTATAAATACTGTACACTCGCATTATTTATTTACAATGTTTACTGAGATCTTATATAATAATTTATCCACGAGTTGCCAACTTTAAACGAACATTTCGAAGTTGAAAAGGTATGAAATACTTCATTAATACCACACTGCGCCTTGTTTAATTGAATACATTATTGGAACATTCTTGCAAATTGCCAGTGAAGCGCATACTTCGCTCGGCATTAATTTAAAAAAGTAAGGATTGGAGTGATAGGATGATGACCCGCCATGGGAGGTCTTTCTATGGGAAACTGACCCCCTATTTAGGTATTATATACGTGAAGAAAACCAGGAAAACTCCACGTGACCAGCAGGGGTGAGGTACGAACTCGCGACCTCCGCTCGTGGATAAAACCACGAACCAGTGTTTAGTAGTTATGTCTACAAGTCGATAAATTGCCACGACGAATAAACCACGCGAAGGGGTAAAGTGTGTGTTGTAAAGGTGGCAATTTATGTGAGAAATGTCTAAAAAAGTGTGAAGTAATGGGATCGATTTATTCTTCATTTCATTTGTTTTCTAACCAAATCTTTGCTCTGTGACGTATCTATTATATTGTCCTAGAAAAATCCTATATATATTAATCGTCATAAATTCACATTTGTGTTAAATTAAGTTAAATGGTGTCTAGTAAATGTATGCTTTCTGTAATTCACTCGTTACAGAATGTAAGATGACGAATGCCGGAGGAATAAGGGTGGTGTTTACCATTGGGTAATGGTAAATGAACAACTAATTCTTGTAAATTTGTTCAGAATGATGTATAAAATTCATATCAAACACGAACACGTGGACATTCCTCCGTGGAATTAATTCTAAACAATGTTTATTCTTACTCTCGTACCTCCCCTAAAAGTGGGCACCTTTCATTCACAAAATTAGGATTTTATACAGCGAGAAAGTAATCATTAAAGAGGCACGCTTCTTCCGAAATTCTTCGTGTATTCTTCATCCGTTGGCCAGGCAAACTTCATTAATTCTGCGTAATTTCTCTAAGTTCCAGCATTGGCTCGTAATTTCTAAAATATTGTCTGTCTGTCACGCTTTATATCTCGAGAACTGACTTTTATTTCAAAAAAGTAGTTTAAAATACATGAAAAATAGTTTCATCTTGCATGTGGAATGAAAAATGGCACGTTTTAAGAAAGCAGAAGTGATTAAGGAGAAGACAAATTAAACATTAAATACGTAAATTTAATTAATCATTTTTAATTAGATAATTACACAAAAGTTGGCATACGTTCTACGGACATATTTATATATAAATGAAATAGATTTATCGGCCATTTTCCTGGTTAACTATTATTATTTTTGATTTTTATAATAATACTTTTATATGAATTTAATCAATTATTCGCGAATATTACTCAGCGGGGAAATCACTTTCTTCAAATCTAATAAAGCCGACATGTTTTTATAGGTATACGAAGTGTTCCGTTAAAAATAACAATCCCCAACGCCATATTATTGTTATTTAATTACGTGTATCGCCACTTTGAATTATTAATCTAAGTTTTTCTCGTATAAAACTCTTGCGGCTTGATGGGTTTTTGATTTTCGTAGTGGATTGCTCCATGGCGGAGTATCAAATTTCAAATTTAACGATTCAATTATTACGGAAATAAATTCTACATAAAACTGTTGTTTCGAAGTTTAACACATTACACTATTGAATTTTTAAAGTTCTGGATGCTTTACTCTTTATTATCGCATTGAATTAAAGTTGCATTCGAAAGACCGGTTCACACTGCGACTTTTAGTTTCCGATTGCGGAATGTGGTCGCGCGACGCGAGTTGCACAGTGCGAATCGCGTTTGAAGCAAGACGATTTTCTTTGTTTCTTTCAGGATGCCGACAATGAGAGCATTGTTGATAAGCCTGTTGATCGTTCAGACGGCGGCCAAGCCTTCGGAATCAAGGCACCGGTTGCTTCCGAGCATCTACGTCCTGGGATGGAAAGAGGGTGATGGAGATCAGGCCTCCACCGAAGTGGTACCCACCAACTTACTGACGGAGCTGTTGAAGAGATCGTATGGTACCTGGTACGCAGCCGGCCCTTCTGACGGATCTGTGCCGTTTAAAGAAAGACAGACGAGAAAATTTCCAGAGGTGGACTCGCGGGGGTTTCACGAGGATATATTCGACGAGGGTTTCGGCAATTGGTCGCCGATGAAACGTTTCTGAAAGTTTGTTTCTCCGTTTAATCTTTCAAAATGCCAAAGCTGTTACTCCCAAAGGCCTCCTCGAGACAACCGTGCCAATTTTTAGTCTTCCCGAGGATCCTCCTAACAATATAAAAACTGGAATTCTTTTGTCGGGCATTAACCGAGTCTCGCCATCTTTGACTTTAAATCTTTGTTTCTTTGGACCGATGTAAACTATATGAAAGAGGCAAGTGTGAGAGAGTTTATTTTCGATTCTACCAAGCATATAAAACGATATTTTACAGCTTTATTTACTTATTTTTCTTCTCATCTTTCACGCGTCAAAATTTCCGCTTCTTAACGTTAAATACTCTGCTATTGCCAATCGTTACATCGAAAATCTGCCATTGGCGTAAACTAACGCGTGGCATTTCCCCTTTTCAGACATTACTTGGCGCATCGACAAATCCACGTACTCGATACAAAAATACTATGAAGTGTGGGGATTTAAATAATTATTTTCTTTAGTCAAGGATCCATTTAAATCCCCGATTTTATCGTCGAAACAAACCAGTTATTTCGTTCTGGTAATGATTATTCTTACCGAAATGGCGTTAGTGCGGCTCATTTTTAAATTTATATAATGCAATTCTCCGATTGGTCGAAAACTAATCCAATTTCTCGAATTCTTCTAAATAAGCCAAGCGTTAATTAGACATTAAATCTTTCTAGTATTAGCCTTCTTGTGACACAGGATACTTGTATTATATAGCACAATACAATACCATAAATGGCCGATGTGGGGTCCGAATAATGAACTTAAAGTCTAAGCTTTTAACCGAAATTTATAATTTACCTGGTTTTTAAATTTAATTATATTCTCAGCTGTGAAACTATTTGTATCGAAGATACAGTCGACTCCCCTATAACACTGTTGATAATTCCGTTTTATATGAATTCCGTGTTGTACGAGTCACTTAGATTTTACAAATACGTGTGACGTGCTGTGAACGGCTCACGTATTTGTAAAATCTAAGTGACTCGTACAACATGGAATTCATATAAAACGGAAAAATCAACAGTGTTATGGGGGGGTTGGCTGTACTAACCTTAATTTTAGTGGGATAAAAGGCGTAAATTTTGTATTCCCACACCACTTTAAATATATATTTTTTCATTTGCTGAACTTAGCACCTTTATAAGAAAGGCTGGCATTACGTTTTAAGGCCTTAGCCTTAATTTAAATGCCTGTAAAAGTACAAGACTGCTGGAATCTTTGTTTAATTTACTCGTTGTTCTTCAATTTAACTAAATGAATTTTTCTCGATAGTTAAACCAGGCCAGATTACATTATTTAATTAAATAAAATGACATTAAATTTAGATGAATTTAGCCTACAAAAGAGAAGTTGCGGCTGATAAAATACAGAATAAATTCGGACGTATCGCATTTACTTAGAGAATTATCCAAAATTAATCTTTCATCCGGCAACAATATCAAATTATGAATAAAAGTAAGAGCAGAATAAAAGTAAATCATGATTAACAACTAAATACGAGAGTAAAGTTTTGTCGACGCCATTTTGTAAATATTTTATTAACCGACAACGGCGAATAAACTTAGTTAATATTTAAATTTATCGACATCACTACTATTTTATTCGCCATTATCTTGTATTAAGCGGACAGAAAATATTTATTTCTTCAAAGAATAATTTAACTCTCTCTCTCTCCTCCAGGAAAATAATAGTAGACACAAGGCCCGAAAAGGCTCAATTTGTGCGGTTTATATGGATTTATTTTAAAACGTAAACCAACCGATTATATGTTTACGTTCGTGTATAATGCGCACCCCTTCAATTTTATATTATGGCAAATCTTTTTCCTTCATTTCTTTGATTACTTTAAAGAAATAAATCTCAAATTTATTGATTTTTGTACTACTTTTAGACTACACGATGCGTTTTCTACGAGGAATATGAAAGAACACTATCACGCTGACATTGAGGAAAGATTTCAACAATTAGTTTGTGTTATTATATAGATTTTTACACTGATTATTTCGCTATTTAAGTACAAAAAAAGATAATTTATAAATCCTTTACTCGATAGCCACCTCACCTAAAATTGATAATAGACTAGTCTATAACACTTAGTTTATTGTATATTCTAGAGTACACGGACTATATAAGCGACGACGTTGTTTCTCGTTAATTAGCTCCTTAATTTGTTTTTATATTTTGTATTATTATATAGGATTTTGTTACCTAAAAGGTGATTTTTTTAATCTCTAGTGTGATTGAAGAATTAAAATCACTTAAAAAACCCGAACAGAGGCATTTAATTGTAGGAAAATGGAAGAGGATGGAATTGTTTCTACACTTTGAAAGTATTTCACAGCTCGTTTCTCGTTAACTATTCAATAATATAATTAAAAAACTACTTTTTGTACCAAATTAAAAACGATTTTTAAAGTTATTTCGAGCCGAAATTGTGTACAGATTCGTTTTTTATTACGTTATATATAAACCAGCATCCTTTGTGACGTTGGAGTTTAATTTTAATCTTACCTAAAGGAATGGGAAACGAGTAACACGCCTTTCAGCATTAAAGTCGAAATGACAAAAGCCAGAAAATATAATTATCGTGGCATATTATTAAGCTTATGCTGATCGATTGTATTAAAATACTCTTCACGTTTCGCACGTTTATAAATTTCTTGATAGACAAATATCTCGAATTAACACGCTGTATTTTACACAAGGAACATTTAAAGACGTTACTTTAATCTTCGTTAAGAATAAACACAAATATTACATTAAAAATTAAATTCTTATAAAGATAAACCGAAATTGCAGTTAACTACTCGCCTACAGAAAGTAGAAAACTGACAACACGATTTAATAAGTAATATTAACGAAAGACACCCGACTTAGCTGATTTCTTATGCAAATAGGATTGCATCAACGATTATTCATTTATACAGAGTTACAACATTGAATAATCTCTGTATTTGCTTAAGAAATTATTCAAGTTCATCCATCAGAATTCTTCGAGAAAAATTTCTACATATTACGAATGGACACGAAGATTCCAAGAGGAGTTTTACGCGTGGATTGCCCGGTGTAGAGCGCAATCCACGAAGATTTCGAAGTGTTTTCTGTGGCTCCAACTTAAAAGAAACACAGGAAGAAGTTAGAAATGATCAAAAATATTCGGGCAAATTGTAAAGAATCTCATTAAAGGTGGTAACTACAAAAATGGAGGAAGAGTCGTATTCAATATCATCGATGACGCTGACACGATAATAAAATTTGCATTCGTTTCGTTAAAGATCCAAACAAATTCTATCAGGCGCCTATTTTCTAATTAAATAGTCCTTTAGCGGATTTATATAATTGATTCAATTATAGATGTAAATGAAATTAATTGTAGAATTAATAAGAAATTCCATCATTGGCGCTCGGGGTTCGCGCTTAAACCCTCCGAGATTTTTGATATTAATCAAAGATTTCGTATAAAATCGTCGTTACGTTCGCGTGTCTGTCCGTCGTCTTTGTGCCGCGCCAGAGAAGAAATGAAGAGGTCAAACGCGGCTTATCGATGTTTCTGTTGTGTCCAACTTCTCTACAATTAATTTATCGCTGTCTTTTCTTGTACAGAGAAACGTTGGCTTTGTAAATTAATTTTTTATACTATAAAATATAATATTTCAGGACAATAACGCGTAATTTATTATTCATTACCGTAAACATTTACTTTAATTTATTACGAATTATGATAATTTATTATAGAAAAGTTTCTAACGACGTTTAACACGAGGGGGTGGAAAATGCAAATTTCTCTCTTCCATCCTGTATTTTAAACGGAGTAATTTTATCTAATTAAAAATAAAAAAAACGAAATAAATTTTAATTTAGAATTAATTTAATTGTGGGTAATTAAATTTCATTTATTTTCTTCTCTTTTATTTCGGTATATTAATTTCATTTATTTGTCTGTCGATTATCATCTGTAATTTAATATAAAGTCTTCTGATAATTAAAGAAAAAACGCGAATAAACGTTTATATTTTCTAGAAAGAACGAAAATTAATCTTATTTCCTTATGTTTAAAAGTTTACCAGAAGGACTAACCTATTGTTCTGGGGCATCCGAAATCAACTCCAAACTATGGTAAACCGCAAGAACTTTTTGGAGGATGGTCCGTCTGGATATTTCGGGCCTATTGTGAACTTGCGTGCACCCATCCTCTTCCTTTCTACAGGCGCTAGAAGGCCTTTTCGTGTATGAAAACATGCCCTTTTGTGCCCACAGATTCGGATAAGTTTACAAGAGTTTCTTGTAGATTTCTACGAGAAACTTTTCTAGAATAAAGAAGAAATAACACAGTAGAAAACAGGCGCATAAAATGTAGTGATTTTAATAGAAAATACAAAAAGTATTCTGCGATTTTTTAAAGGTACAGTAGAGCTTCGTTTATCCGAATCAATTGGGGACTGGGGTCATTCGGATAACCGATCATGTACGAAAAAATATATTAAACTATCCTGTGTTGAAAATTTTCTCCGTTGCGTGTCGCTTCGCGTTAAATTTTCGATGTTAAGCCTAACGTAAACTTTTAAAAATAATAACCGTGGCTATTGTATTGTTAAAAGTGATTTCTTTATGTTTTACAAATGAAATAAATACATTGAAAAATATAAAAATTATACTTTAGGCCGACTGGAATTCTTTCGGATAACCGACTTTCGGATAAACGACGCTCTACTGTAATTTCTTAATAAAACGCAATCCTCGCTGTTTATATTTTTAAATAAATGTAAAGCACGCGCGGGTCTTATCATCTAAACATTACGGATTAAACTAATTTGTGGGAAACCGAAACGCATTTTGCATAAAAATGAATCGTCATCGTAAAAATAATTACAAACATTCTAACAAATATTTAATTTAACTAAACACGCGCCATATGCAATCCAGCCAGCAATTACTGAATAACAATATTACCAAAAGCTTATTAATTTCTAGAAATTGTTATTTGTCATCGTGTTTACAATCGAAATAACTCGGCATTCCCGTCACGAAATGCTTTTATAACTTTGGGAAAATCACCGGGTCACGTGGCATACCACGTCATCGAAGTGGTCCATCCGTTTCAATTGATGTCAATCTTGAAGGTTTGTAAAATTTAATTCAAACAAATGATTCGTTAATTGTTCATTAATTACGTTCCTGTTTATTGTAATAAGAAGTAATTAGTCTACGTCGACGGTTAAGTGTGGCGCTATTTAAAAAAACAAAAGGTAAAGTGTGCTGGTCGAATGACGTTTTTTAAAGTTTGTCCAATTAGAAATCGATTCAGATCAGCGCGCCCCGAGTGTCGGAATTGATAACTAAATTGTGATAAATGATACGTTTAAGTATTGTCTGCCATTTTGTTGTTCTAGTTTAATTAAACCGATTAAATGGCGTTAAAGTTTCCAAATTTTTAAATTAATTTCTAACTGTTTTATGAATTAAATTAAAATTACCGAATGGCAAATTAAGTTACTTTTCCCGGAGAATATAAAAATTTGAGTAATACAGATAGTATTAGTACTCTTTTTGTCAGGATAGTCTACGTCATTTAGACGTCACTTCGCTTTCACGTTGAAAGTATGAGGAAATGACGTCAAATTGACGTAAGGTGCATGCTCTTCTCTCAAAGTATACTGATCTGAAGGATTCGAATTCGAATCCTGCTCAGAAATTTCTTAAGTGCGTTAACCGGGATACGTCGGCCTCGTATCATTCTGAACCTCTATTCAAACCCACAATGGGCACGGATGAAAGGTCCTACTGGTGTGCTGGCAAAGTAGAAAGTATTATAAGTAGACATTGATCATAAAATACCCCCTTAAGTAATTACTTCTACACAACATACCGTAATAGTTCGAGGAATAAAAGATCCTTATTACTTTATTCAAATATTTTCAATGTTTGGTTTCATCCCCATTGGGTTCTTCTTTGTTCGCTACTGCCAGGTCTATAATGGTGACGACCTAGTTAGGTATAGGGTCTAATACAACCGAGACGATCGCCAATATCGGACTCCCAGAGATACAAGTTAAGATCTTGGTGGACTTTTAAAACTGCCGAAAATAAAGAAAGTTTGGTTCTTTTTGCCTTCAAAACTTTAAAATCGTACATATAATAAATTTGGAAACCGTACGAGGGTGACCGAATGATGAGGGGTGAATCTCAAAATTTCTGATTACAGGCAGATCAAGCTATGTTGACTACTGTATAATGCCTACTTTTCGACACAAGCGACATCTAGGGACAGAAATCACAATTAAACTAGTAAAACACTAAAATGATTATAAAAATAATTGTTGTACCAATCTGCCTACATAGTACATAGATCCATACTATGTACTGTACCAATCCATCATACATAGTAACCGTACTTTTTTGAACCACCGAAACATCTACCGCTGTAGTGGACTAGGGATCGAATCCGAACGAGTCAAAAATCCCAACACTTCTTTCAGGTGTGGTAGGTACTGTACAGACGTGTCAAGTGTCCCTCACCACCCAGTCGCCCCATTGCGGGCTTGACCAAATCCATGATCGGCTCTACAAAAAAGGTCATCTTAGTGCCGACAGAGAGAAAAATAAAAGAAACAGATAATTTTAGATTTATTCGCCATTTTTTATTGTCACAAACGTCAATTTCATTTTAATCTTCGGTTATATCCAGATAGGAGTAGAGACAGGGCAAAACAGGTAGACGATAGATGCCGTCCGGTAGGTTCGACGACTCCAAGAGACACTCCCTGATGGCACATCTGCAAAGGTGTTTCAGTTTCGAGGGTCGCGCAAATCTCTCGAGCATGTCCGGAAGCGCTTTGGTACTCAGGGCCTTCAGGCGTTCCCAAAAAATTTCGTCGTCGAACTCGTCGAAAACGTCACGAGTCGTCCTGGCTTGGGGGATGATCCTCAACATGATCTTAATCATTTGTACTCTTTGTTCCACTTGATGTGAGGATTCCTCACCCAGAAAGGTGAGGAAAGATCGCAGCAATCTGGCGTTTTCGACACGCCAAAGACGCCCGCATAAGGCACCGTGACGAGTGAAGAGGAGGAACAAGTCGGGTGTTAAGTCGAGAGCGTAGAAATAGGTGGGAATGGAAGTTTTGTCGACGACGAAGTAGTCGATCATCCTGCAACCGTCGAAAAAACACCGGGACAAACTGGCGTGCCGAACGAAGTACCCAAGAGGCGGTAGTTCGAAGGTGGGACTCAGAACGGGCCAAAGGTCGGGCTCCGAAAAGGTCTTCCACTCGGCGTCCGTCACCACTTTGGCGCGGTAGAAGAGAGAGAAGGTTCCAAAGCAGTCGTAAAAGTGCTGGAGCAGTCGAGCCACCTCTCGACTGTCACGACAATCGTAACAATAGCAGAGTTTGGTCAGATAGAGGACGAGCGCTCGTTCCACGTTATCGTGACTGTCGCTGATCACGCGCAGTTCTTTCCACCCGTAATATATTTTCTGCATCCGGCGAAAATGTCGTTCGAGCGTTTCCACTTCCGTTAGGTACCAGCGGCGTTTGAAATCCTGAATCTCGCCAACGAGACTTTTGACGCTGTCCGTCTCGAGCGAGATGTTCCGTCGATGACGGTCCAACTGATAGATGGGATCGGTGTCGGAGGAGGTGGCAAAGTCCAGATCCGTCCACGGGTCGGACGCGTCCATCGACTCGAAGACGTCTCGGATGTCGAACGAGCTGAAGTACGTACCCAGATCGAATTTCCACCGGCGTTACAAGCGCTTCTTCAATAACGAAAACTTATATTTCATTGTTAGAAGATAACTATTTTGTAAAAATCGTATCGACAATGGCTGGACACGTCATTACTCGCTGTTAATTATAAACTAATCCTCACGTTACCGAGATTTTTTTCTAGCACCAACTACCCAGTGGACAAGAAATAAATTTTGGCGAGAAGTGAGCCGCGATAAACATCAAACTATGTCAGGTGTTTGCGAGAATCAGAAATTCGGTCTGGCGAGCGAGAACTATATCGCTCGAAACTTCTCGCTTGCTACCAGATTGGGGTGTGCCTAATCGCACCAGAGTTAAGGTATCGGTAGAAGAAATGTTTTCCCCGTTACAGCATATATAATAGGAAAAGATGGCACCACAGTTAACTTCTTTATACCTCATACACTGACGTATGCATTGTTTTTTTACTCGTCACTGCAGGAAATTTACTATTTACTAGTATTTATAGAGAACAGTACATTTATTAAAAACATTATAGAGTGGGATTTGTAAATTTTATTTTACTGTTTCAAATAATACAGTTCTAACCAGGAGATAAATATTTTTATAATAACCAATACTGAAAATTTGACTATAGTTTGTTTTAAGATCCTGAAACATTGAATAATTGCAAGTAACAAATACCTTTTTATGTTTTTTTTTAATTGATCACTTGTAAAATATATGGTACATGTGTCTGAGAAAAGCAAATGGACAAATCTTAAATTTCGATCGACACAGACGGTAATGTTTTTGCTGTGTTTCGAATGCAAATCCAACGTACAAAAAAACATTTTTAATTAAAAACTATCAGAGAATTTAAAAGACGGAATGGCTCCGAACGAAATAATTTTCCTCGTCCGTTGAAGTACGTAGAGGATCTTTAGGTCTCCGAAATCGAATCTCGAATAAAGTAATTTTGTAGTCGATAGAATAGTTTTGTATTTCGTTTCTCACGTAGATTAAGTTTACTATTTAAATTTGGATATTAATGTTAGTTTAAAAAATGGTGAAAAATGGATATGGCTTACAAACAAGTTTACTAACAAACTGGTTGTCCGTGCGCGATCGGCGATGTCGTACTCGAACGTGCCGGCGGTTTGCGGGATTGTGGGTTTCTTGCCCCTACGGCCGGCTCAAAACTGCAATGTACAGACACCGGCAACTCTTCCTCGAAATTGGAAGCACCTTTCAAATTCAAAAATGATAACATTAAAAATGTCTTTTTGCTTCTTTTTAAACCACCACAACATTGATTAGCTGAACTTGTTGCAAGTATCCTCGAGAAAAAAAAACTGTGGACAACCTCGACTACAGTCTGGTACGGCACCCCGTTTGCACGTAATCGAGGTACCGCGAAAGGACAAATGCAACATCAAATGAGGGAATAATAAGATGACACAAGACATTTGGGAGTACCTATTAGAAATTACTTCGTCTCGTAATTAACGCATTCGATAGTCGAAACTCTCGGACATTTCCGACAACTCTCCTTTGAAGTCGAGATCGATCACGAAATCCAAATCTCGCTGGAAAAAAGTTTTAAAATTATGTTGAAGGGAATTGTGTGAAACAATGTAATGGATACTTTTGCATTAACAGGCCAAATAATGAACTCCGTAAAAGTTTCCTTACCTTGTTTTTAGAATTTGGCTTCATGCCAAACACGCCAAACATTTCTTCTCCTTTCTTTACGGTCAAATACTCGTCAAAGTAAAACACCGTCTGCTTCCAATGGGTGTAAGGGGCTTCCGGAGCTATAAAATAAAGTCTCAGTTACTTCCTGCACACCGTTAGAAAACTAAGAGTTATGTTTCATTTAAATACCTGTTGAAAATCCAGTACGCTTGTGACATTTAGTAAATTCGACGTTAAAAAATGTTACAAATGCTTGTATATAATCATCTCTTCTTACTTGAAGATGGAATGGCGACGTAAAAGTTAAATCCTCTTGTTTTACTGTATATAAATCAACTTCCTACAATAAGAAAAATGACAAACGACAATTTTATTAAATACTCTTTATTACTACATCCCTATTTATGTTAGCATTTTTAAATTCTAAAAATATTTTATAGTTTCATTGTTTTTACTTGGGTCAAAGACTGTTCTCTACTAGCCAAACAACATTAAATTTTGTTCAGCATTTTCAACGGAAAAATGTAAACTCAAAGGTATTGAAAAGAATATTTAAAATGAAAATAACTATGATCTTATTGGCTGATATTCTCAAGCTTATGTCTTAATGATAAACTTCAATCAGTAAACCAACATCTTTTGTGAGAAAAACATTAAGACAAGAATTAAAATAACAGAGAAAGATAGTAATCTTAAATTGTTACACACAAATATTTGTTGTATGCATATTACAGTGGATGACATGAAATGTAAAATGTTTATTTGTTTATGTCTCAACACATATAGAGTTCTTTTTAAGTGAGTATTATTCACCATGACATAAAACCTAAATAGGGCATAAACTCTAATGTAAGGCCTATATTATTTTTCTACCTCCCGGATTAGATATTAAATAAACTCTACTGTATATTAATAAAATAACAAAAACTAAAATAAAATTATAGTCCTTTTGATTTATGCTGTCAAAACAGAATAAATTACTTTTCATTCAGTTGTAGGGGAATACATGCAGAACAGAGATCAATGTTCCTGCCATATCTATTCAAATCACTGCCCAACACAATTTGCAATGTTGTAAATGACTGGCTATTCAAGATTTTGTACACTCATATCATTAATCATAATGGATATTCAAATAAACTTTATAAGATCACCTAATTGATAATGAAGATTTATGTTTGTTTATTCTCACTATGTATTGTGTCCTAAATACTTCTGTATAAAATTTGATATATGATGAAGTGTGCAATGAAATCTCATTGTAAGTACAGGAATATCAATAAAATATTTGTGATTTTCTGCAGCTGTAAAGTTCTAAAGCTATGTTAAAACAAACAAAGAATGGCTTTGAAGATATAATTCTTATTATTTGCTGTCTATTATTACAATTACAAATATTTTTACATTGAATAAATATGTCTAAAATCAGTAAAAATATCTTTTTGAGAAGTTATTTGTCAGTTTTTACAGACTATACAGTAGAGCGTCAATTATCCGAATCAATTGGGGACTGGTTGTTCGGAAGATCTATGTTTCGGATAACCGATTATGTACGAAAAAATATATTAATTAATCTCATCTTGACATTTTTCTCCGCTGCGTGTCGCTTCACGCTGAATTTTCGTCTATATTAAGCATAACGAAGACTATTGTATCGTTAAAAATTATTTTTTTATGTTGTACGAACAAAATAAATATATTGAAAAATATAAAAATAATAAAAAATTATACTTCAGAAGTTAATTTAGTATCAAAAATGTAAAATATTTGAGTAGCTGAAGACATAGCCAAAGATTGCAGCGCCACAGCACTGGCAAAAATTTAAATTTGCCAACTGGAATTCTTTCGGATGATTGACTTCCGGATAATCGACGCTCTACTGTATTATAAAAACTACATTACAAACCTTTAAAAGACAAGCATTTGTGACCACCTGCTTGGGATCAACTACATCAACCAAAGGTTCCGAAATGGCAACTTTACGTATGCAGCTCATATTAAAACCATAGACATTATCCCACCCTAGAAGATATATTAAAAAACAACATTTAAGAATAAAATATAACTGAAAGCATTTTAATTAACTGGGTTAATAAACAATAAACTAATCAAATAAATTATAGCTAAGTTAATTTAATTTCAAATTTATGGGTTAATCCAATTCTTGATGCCTGACTTCCTATGTAACTACACTTAACAAAATTATCGCATGTGCAGTACATTTAAATGCAATTGTTTCCAGAACAATATAACAAAAAATTCTTGCTTTTATAGTCAGATTCTGATATCTGAACTCCTGCTTCAATGAATGATGTTCTTTACACCCTCAGGATATCTGCATCAAATAATTTCAGTATAATAAATTTCTTCAGAGTGCATTTGTCAAAAATTCAAATCATGCTTGTAAAAACTGGAAGAGATTCTGTTTCCAGCTTAAATTGTTTGTTGCAATGGAACTAGGTTCTACTACAGATGTACAGTTTAGTGATTTTATCACCAATTTCAACACACTTTTGAATACTTTTAAGAATAAGTTCATACTGTCATGAATATTAAAAAAATATTGTTTTAGATTGAATTGAATACAAATACTTACAATTAATCTTTTCATCTTTATATTGTCTATCTTCTATTGCACATACAAATAATGTGGCTCTGTCTGGAAACATTAAACCATCTGGTTTCTAAAATAATAAATAATTTTACTGTAAATAAATGCACAGTCCACATAAACAGAATGTAAATAAGTAAATGAAGAACAACACAAATCAGCAATTCATTAATTATTTTATTAGATGTAACAATGACAAGTTCTACAAATCCCTCTGTGTGACAAGAGAAAACAGTAAAAACTAGAAATGAATAATATTTTATAGCCAGTCACTCGTGCATAACTTTATATTTACAGTAATACCCCAAACTTACATGATAGGTGGGACCGAGCGATAACCGCATAAGTCGAATTCGCGTAAGTCGGGGTATAATTTCACAATTTGTGTAAACTCCAAGTTGGATGTATGTAAGCTACTAAATGTTCTCGTTAATCTTATCTCGTCTTTTGATTCGTTCACGGTTACAAGAAATCACCACATAGAGTCTCTAGAGTCTCCGTAGATATAACAAACACAGAAATAAATAACACAAAATAAATTGTAGCTATGTGTTGATTCTGTGTTACACGTCCGAACATGTATACTGAACAATAGTGTGGGGGGAGTGAGTAATCAAAAGTTGCATGGCGCTCAAACAAAAGACAAATCGACGAGATTTGAAAATCGCATAACTCCGGGTTCGCGTAAGTCGAGGTATTACTGTATTTACAAATTCATGTTTTCCAATTACATATTACCATAACTTAAGCTGAAACACTAAACTTGTATGTAAAATTACTACTACACACTCTTTACTAAGTTGAATGCCCTTAACTTGATTTTTTTGGTCTCAGTTTAACTCTCCTAGAATTTGTGCATTCTGTTTCTATAAGTCAAAGTTGTTTTGACAACACATCTTAGTAACTGAAAATTTAACACATAAAATTTAAGACTTTCATGTCTAATTTTGTATGCTTATTTTCAAATGGACAGAAGATATTACAAAGTGACTGATGAAATAGTGCCTTAAAACTATTAAGCTTTTAGATTTTGAAAATTTAAAAATGTTATCAAGACAATTTGTGATTTCAGAAGTTAGTAAGTTATAGGCCAACAGTAGAGTGGGAGTAATATGTATCATGTAAATACCTGCAATGTAATACACATAAATTGCTGCGCAGAGCAAATAAGTTTGCATTAAGTAAATTTTGTGCCCAATTCAAATGTACATTGCAATTCTAGAGACTAGAAATGTAAAAGAAAAGTTTGCATTACAATTGAGAAAACACAGTACCTTCATCTTCAAAAAGACAATGCTTTTAATACATTTGACTGCATCAAAATAATTTTTGAGCAAGAAGCACTGAATTATTCACAAATCTGTTAACAGACTTTCACTAATAATGTCAATGTTTTGTTACTTTGTACATATATCTAAAAATAATGTATTTAAGTTGAAACATTTTCTCTGTCCCCTTCACTTTGAATTATTGAGAGTCTACTGTGTCACTAGTATTTGTATGTTTTAATGAAACAGTAGAAGTCATATTCAGATAATATAAAGATTTTACATGCAAAATGTATTGTGTGTTTAAAATTTACAATTTATTAGAATGCTAACCAGGAAACCTTCTGAAACATTAGTCAAGAGTTATAATAAGCAAAATTTACTTTAACAGAATCTTTTTCCTTTCATGACAATGCACATAAATCAAGTACAGCAAAAATAAATAATATATAGTAGCCTCTTGTTATTTTGCTCATTTGGCTAATCCACACTTTTCTCCTACCAAATATAAGAGTGCTTTAGCCAATAAAGGATAAATACATTGGTTATATCACACTCTCTGTCCTACCATCTGCTTGGTTTGTCTCTCCATGCATGGAATATAATAAGGGGCTACTGTAATTAATTTTTTTTTTTTTTTTAAACTTTAATTCAGAGTTAACCCTTTGCCCTCGAAAGTACCGATCGATCGGTACCCCTGTTGTTAAGCAAAACTTCGAGGGTACCGATTTGTCATTACCCCAGTAAAAATCTATTTTTATAAAATTTATCAACAACAGATGTCAGCACTTCACACATCGTCTAGATCGTCTGTTTTATATATTTTTCTCCAGGTGGTGTTTTGTTGACTTAAAAAATTTTAATTAATGCTTTTTTTAATTAATTTTTTTCTGATAATTTTTATTTTATTTTTAGCATATTCATTTATCTATAATAAGTCAACATGTTATATATATTCAAGTTATGACCTTCAGTTCTGACATTTTATGTATTTTTTATTTTAATCCAAAATATCACCAAATGTTACATGTATTACTACTGGTAAATCATATGTTTATTACAAAAATTTATATTATTGTTCGATACGAAGTGAATAAAGTATATTAGTTCATCATATTAGTTGATAGCATAATAAAGTTTTGATTTCGAACAAATGTTTGATATAATGTGCGATAATTTCACAACGAATAAATGTACATGTATAAGTGTTATGAGTTGTACAGAACAATATTTTATGTCTTTCTGGCTCATTGCCAGCAATAAACTAGGTAACTAAACAATGTTAATTTTGACAAAAAGTTACAAATTATCAAGTTTAAATGTCAGTTCTGATATATATATATATTTGTTACAAATTTTTCTAAAATGTATTGAAAAATATCCTATTTAAAACTAAAGATATTAATAAATGTATGTAATTTTTTCATATGAATATAATGATAATTTGATTTCTGGTGAATTCTTAAAATAATATTGCCTGACTGACCTATATTGCCTTCAGACAGTTTACAAAATTAATGCAGTGGCGGGGAAAGACCTAAATTTGATGTGGGCAAGGCACATTTCGTGAGGCCCTCTGGTGGCACAAGAAGACTGATTTTATAAAATAAAAAGCAGTTGAAACTGTCAAATTTTTATTCCTAAAAATGCAAACTATACTCTTTAACTAACATTAAAAAAAATTAAAGAAACAGAAATTTCCTGCTTTTAGCCTTACCAAACTCCTTAATAATTGTATAGTAATTCAGCTTATATGCTATACATGCTTCAATAGATAAAACTGCGAAAGCTGAAAGTCTTTCCCGACTCATTGTATTTCTTAAATAATTTTTTTATTAGTTTTAATTTTGAAAAGCTCCTTTCGGCATAGGCAGTACTTACTGGTATTGTTAACAAAATTCGAATGGCAATGTAAATATTTGGGTAAATTTCTTTCAAGTTACTTTCTGTTATGTATTGGAGCAGCTATTTCACATCTTTAATGAAGTTGGATAAATTTGGGATCATTGTTTGTAATTCTTCATATAATTCGTAAGGTTGTAAGTCACTGCTCTCACTCACTTGCAGGACTGAGTGTAAATCTTGACAGTTTTTTAATATTTGCTCTTTTGGAATATTTTTTAACTTGCTTAGGTCATAGAGAAAACCAAAATTTTCAAAATGTTGATTTAAAGACATAAATCCCGAATCCATATTGCTTATTACAGAATCAATCATGGTGTTAAAAAAATCTGTTTTATACCTGCTTTTGGCAGACTGTATAGGTTGATCGCTGCCTTCATCATCAAACATCCTTTTCTTTTTGGCTACCCTTTTGTTTTTAAAGTCTTTTGGCAGTTCATAACTGCTATTCTCAATAAATTTGACGAGCATCAGACAAACATTTTTGGAATCCAGTTTGTCGATATTCTTTGATCCAGTCACAAAATGTACACAAATGTTCAAGAGCATTGCTTAAATGGACTTGTAAAGATTGCCATAATTTGCTTATGATATTAACACACGATAATATCTCATACCATACATGTAATGATGTGATAAATTCTAAACTGAGCATTTTGTTTAAAACCAAATCACAATCACTGAGTGTGTCTGATTATTCCATTTGATTTTTTAAGCTTTTGATGCATTCAACATCAAATTGCAATAATACAGCCTTCACTGCCTCGATTCTGCTTTCTCACCTTGTGTCTGATAAAGGCTTCACAGTAAGCTTTAATCTGCCTTTGATTAATTCCCAGCATTTGCTGGAACTTGAAAATAGCAAATAAATTTTCTGAATAAAACCAAAAAATGTTTTTGCTGCCACAGAAGAATTAGCTGCATCTACCAACAGCAGATTCTAGCTACGACAACTGCAAAGTGTAAAAAATGCCCTGGGATTAATATTTAATATTCGAGTTTTAACTCCACTATTTACGGGATACTTTGATTAGCTTTCTAGCTGTTGAGAATCGTGAAAGTAACGTAAACAAACACAATGGAAAATCCCCAGCTCTGGTTGGCAAGGATTCCCCGCAATAGCAACCCAAATAGCCAGCAAATGATGCTAGACAAATAAAAACAAATTTGGTATGTCAATATATTTATCGTTTTATGATGAGTAAAATTTTTTCCTTGAGTTTATGGCTTTTATGTAATGCATAAACCTTCAAAGCGCGAGGCTGTAGGCGATGGCCCACGTTGCCTCTGAATTAATGTAAACAAGATGTCGGTGGTAAAGGGTTAACTTAATATTTTCTTTAACAGGACTAAAAAAATTTAACAAATTTACATAGAATAAAATAGAAATTCTTACCAGCCATTTATCTCTAGCGTAAAGAACAGTGTCCAACATAGATTCGTAAAACAAACAATAGCCCATCCATTCTGAGATTATTATATCTACTTTCTCAATACCATCTGGTAATTCAACTTCCTCCACTTTTCCTTTCACCATTGTTATAACTGTAAAATATTTTTAATTATTCATAATTTGCAATGTAAATGTAAAATAGATAAACAGATATTCACATAATTATTTTTGCTCTTATAATAAGTTTATATTATATATCAAAATTGATGTCAGATAAACTTTGGGGTGAAGCATAATACTTGGTATGCTAGTTAAATTCTAGTACAAAATTTTGCCTGTAACATGCAATTGTTTAAATTTTTGAACACATTCTATTCGCTGTTTGAATGCTTTCAAATTCTATGTAAGTTAAGTTGTAGTGCTTGTTGTTAGCCACAAAAGAACTATGAATAAATCTAAAATCTGCCATCTGCTAAAACTTAAAAATGTTATGAGAAATTAGGGTGGTACAAAGTTTATTAGTTTTGATGTTTTATCAACTCACAATGAAGTGGTATTTTAAAAGAGCAGACAGTTTAGTACATCCACTTTATTAATACTTTATCTTTTTTTACATTCAGTTGCCAATATAATTTATGTTTGGTTCCTGAAGATAAGCACTGGTAAAAAACTACTTGAATCATTTTATCTTACAGTTTTTTCTTCAAATAAAACAATTTTACTTTGTTCTTTATAAAACTAGATTAGAATAAATTTTATTTTTTAAAAAGTTTAATTTAAATAGTTTCTTTATACAAAGAAATAATATAATAACATGATTTGTTTTCATTTCGAAATTAAAAATTTCTGATATTTTTAGCACTAAAATTGTCTAATTCTGCATATTTAAGTTAATACAAGATATGCTGTTATATGAATTCGCACATTTGACTGATGGGTATTGTAGACAACAAAAGTAAAATTCATATTACAGTATATTAAAAAATTTAAGTTCTGTATAGCTTGAATGACAGCTAACAGCTTTTATTAAAAATTTTATATAGTCAATTTTTAAGCTTATTCTTTTCCGTAGTGATTTATATACTTTTTATTCTACTTTCTGCATAAGAATATACCATCAGAAAATTATTATTTTGAATAACAAAATATTTATAATCAAAAAATATTTGTAAGTAGAAGATAAACACAAATTTTGATGTCTTCATAATTTATCCTTTTCATATCCTACATAATACCAGATCATGCATTAGACTGTTAGCCTTTTATACAAATTATTACTGTGTGTTATTGGAATAGATTAAAAAAATTTTAATTTCAATACACAAACAAAAGGATTGACTCACATCACTGATATAATATAAGCAATAAAAAGAAATTTGTTTTTATTTAAAACCATTCACATTCTAAACAGAACAATTAGAGCATTCTTTGTCAGCTTTAGTGTCACCTTTTACAGATAGAAGAAACGTCAAACTAATTTATGTAAAAGGTGTTAAACTGTTCACAATATCACTATCATTATAAAACTTGTGATTAATTTATTCATTTATCAGCAATCTGATTATGCAAATTAGTTGTCAAGCCAGAAAGCAAAATTTAACAAAACCAACCATATTTAAAATTTAGAGAAACGAATATAAAAAGGCAAATGAACTAAAATATATTAAATTTCGCTGCTACCTCATTATATTAATTAAAATTATAATTACTAGCATTAAAACTAAATTCTGATGCCAATGAATTTAATTGTAACAAAAACAAATAACATTACTTAAAGTTGTAATAAATTATAAAAAAATTTCACTTACTTTCACTCATGTGATTTTCTCTTACTATCTGTTCGGCATGTTCAACAATACTTGAACATTCAATCTGAAATAAAAAATTATTTTTAGGAAAAAAAGTCCATATTGTGTGCTATTACTTAACAATGTACTCTTTCTTAATATTAATTTGAATGTATGAGGAGTGTTCAAAAAGTATCAAACATTTGGCTGGGAAAACTACAATTATCCATCTGGAAATGAGAAACACTAATCCCTTTCAAAGCAGTCTCATTGGGCTTTCATGCACATTTCTCAGTGTTTCCTCCGTTATTGGAAGCACATCAGGAAGACCTCTTTCAGCCAATTGCAGAAACAAAGTTTACATTAAATGATGTTTATCAACAGAACAGCCTATAGACGTTGGTTGGCTGAATCGCAGTTTAAAATGTGCTGCAAAGACAATGATCATCTAGTTCTGAATGCCCTCTAAACAAACTTAGGCAAAACACTGGCTCTTATTTTCTTCGTCATTACTCCCCTGTTTTAGTTGTTTGGCCAATTGGGTTATTTGTTTATGACGTCAGAAAAGGTTGCCAGCTATATTAAGAAAGCTTATGGAAATAAAATCTTAAGGTCGTCAACAACTATTGTTCGGCAATTAACGACAACCCTTTCCATTTTGATATTTAATTTCATCGCCAATATGGTTTAAAATACAAACAAATCCATATTTAGAAAATTTATACTGAATTTGAAATACATCTTCAGAATAGATGTTTAAGGAATTATTTCGACATTGTATTACTGTCTCCCTTTATAACTGTTGAAAGAAATCATTTTAAATATTTTATTATTACTATTACATTTTTTTTTTCTATAAAAAGATTTTGGTAATTATTAAAATTGTCTCATTTGTTTAACAGAACAATCTGACTAGGGATTAACTACAATGACCCCGAAAAGCATTAATGTTTCATAACCGACACAATACTCGAATTGTAAATAAATGCATCTGACTTAAATTAATTGTAGTTTTAAGTCTTCACCCATTTGAATATCGAAATTGGAACATTTAAAACAAATTTAAAGTACTTAATTTTGTTGTTTTTTGCTCCAAGCAATTAATTAATGAATAATTTTGTCGATTCGTACCGTTTACAACATTTATCAAAGGAACGATATCCATTTTTATCTAAACTTTTCCACGAACAAAGCTACCACTCTAATTAAAACTCCCTCTAAATCTGCTGTCGAGTAAGTGTAGAAAGTAGGTCAAATAACTTGCTTCTAATCACTGTCTATATTGTGGCAAGTGAGAAATGCCATCTCCACAATAAAATTTTTCTGAACAGTGGTCTATCTGATTTGTAAAACACCGTCAACCTCGAAACGTTCTCTCTCAATTGGTTGTTTGTGTTTGGTGTTCAGCTGTGCCATCACATTGTATATAGTCTTATGGTGACTCAAATCAAATTCCTTTCAGCAGCATCTTCAGTTTGGGGAACAGCCAGAAATTGCATGGAGCTAGCTAGATTGGAAGTATAGAACCTGATTAGGCAGAGGAATGTGGTGCTTGGCCAAGCAAGTCTGAATCAGTTGCAAAGACTGGCAGGTGCTTTGTTCAGATGGAACTACCACATTCCTGTTGTTTGCATTACACAGCATTACGAAGGTAACAGAGGATGGTCATACAGTACTCTTAGGTAATGGTTTGGCTTTGTGGTGTACTCATAATGCACCACACTATGAGAGTCAAAGAAGAGAGCCAATATGATTTGATGATGCTGTACACCTATCATGCATTTTTTGGCCTCAAAGATTATGAGTATCTCCAATATGATGACTACATCTTAGTTTCCAGGTTGCTGATTGCATAGTCCAGCATGTCCTAAGAGACTTCCAACCAAAGTTGCTTCTCTGCCATTAGCAGCTTTGGCACAAATTTCGAAGACACATACTGCATGAGCAAATTCTCTCTTAAAATGGCATCTATTGAACCATTCCTTATCTCCACCTTGCCAGCAAGTTCTTGGATTTGACATGATGATCCTGCACAACCAAAGTCTGTATTTGTTCAATGGCCTCTTCATTTTGGCTTGTGCAAGCCTATTGGAGCATGGTTTGTTTTCCACTGACCATGTGACCATCACTGAAGAAATTGTACCACATCCCAATTTGTGCAGGGCTCATGGCATCATTGTCAAAAGCCCGCTGAATCTTCCGAACAGTTTCAATTTTGATCACCAAGCTTTTGGCAAAATTTGATATAACAATGATGCTCAAGTTATTCCACCATTTCATAGCAATTGAAAATGTGATGGGCATTCACCAAATGCACTCAATCACACACTGAATGACAGTGACTGATCTCTCTGCTGATAGGAAAAAATTCATGCATGTGTATGAAAGTTCCCCACACTTCCCTGCCAGTGGGCATTCCCTGAGCTTCATTTGTTTCCATGGGAAAAATTAATGATAAATATATAAAGAAGCAAGATTTTGATAGCCTTTCCTATCAGAAAATTTTGGATAACTCGAGCTTTATGTATTGTCCAAGTGCAAGATAAAATTTAGACACTATTCATGAATCACAAGCAACAAATATTTGTCCAATGTATCTTTTGCATACTGACCAGTAATCATGTGAACTTTTAAACTGGATGCACGAGAATCAATCTACATTTGTCCCAGAAAATGGTGTACAGAACTTTGACATTGGAAACAATTTGTTGAAAATTTTGGTAATGTAGAAAAGCAGCAACTTTCCACTGTTTTGATTGGCTTTCGGTTTTGGGATTTAAAAGCAGAAACCACACTTCATTCATTGTTATCACATAATCCAAAGAACAGTACTAGCTTCAGCATTCTTCACCAACATTGAGTGACAAACTTCAATATGACTGTATTTCTTTTCATTGTACAGTTGGTGTATAATCCATCTTGCAGAAACTTTCATGTGTAAATGATCAGTCAGAGTCCGTGAACTGTTCCATGCAATACGTCTGTAGCAATTTTATCTACTGTCAGTCATTGATCTTCCATCATCACTATTCCATTCAAACAGTTTTCTGGAGAATTTTCAATGGAAAAACAATAACAGTGCAATTCATTTTTGGTGAAGTTTCTTCCATCTGTAAATTCTTGAACCTACTTGCAAACTGTGCAGTCAGCAAGAACAGACTCCCTGTAGAATCCATTAACTGCCTATGATATTGGCTGCCTTTGCACAATGAAGAAACAAAAATTTGATGACAGCATGCTGCTCTTGAACCAAAAACTTCATGCTTTCAGGCATACTCAGAAACAAATTTGTGGAAAATGTGAATTACTCGGTACCTTCTATTAGAACACTAATGGAACTTCACAAGGCAACTGGTAAAGACTTGTTCAAACCTGTCCCGATGACTTCATAGTTTTCTGTGCGCCTGCTAGAGAAAAAATGTATGTAATTCTAGCATGCAGCTCATACTCTAATTCAGGAGCAACCCTAACTTTTTCCTAACAAGGGCTACGTGATAAGTATAAAAGATTTTTAAAAATCTTAATCTTTGACTATATATTTTGATTTTATATATTTTAATTTTTGAGGTGTATTGGCCAAAGTACATAGAAGCAAAAATAAAAAATATTCTTCTTAAGAAATTTAAAAATTATTTTCTGGAAATTTAACAAACTCCCTTCTTTAAATAGGTTTTCAAAATGTAGGTTGGATAAATATGCTTTGTAGGCTATATTTTGCCTGCAGGCCATGGATTGGAGATCCCTGCTATAATATCAAGTTCAGACCTTAACAAAAATAATAAATTTTTACTAAAAAGGAAGAAACCTACATGTGGCCAAGATAGGAACCACTAATGTTTAAATCGGATGCAAGATTAAATCTGAACACTTGAAGTTCTATCAATATTTCTACCATTTAATGTTATGAATATTGCAATCACATTTTATGAATTGACATGTGTTAAATCATGTTTTTAAAACATTTTACAAACTAATCACTGCCTATTAAGACATTTTTGTCAGTGGTTGAAAATACACAGCTTCAATCGCCAACAAAATATGATGTCTGTAACATAAATTGTAAGACATTCTCCCAAATAGAAATCAATAATTTGAAAATAATTTATAGAACTTGTAAACTAGATGTAATGTATAGCATAGAAAATTCAAACCTTTCTCACATTTTCCAGCAATAACTGTTTAACAAAACAGTTACTGCTGTAAAAGTGTGAATTTTTCTATGTTTAGAAAGAATGTAGACTAAAATGATCCTTAAAATAAATACAAACTATACTTACTCCAATGACTTTTGCAGCTCCAGCTTTGGCAGCAAACATACAAAGGATACCTGTACCACAACCAACATCTAATACTACTTTACCCCTGAAAAGATGTTTATTGTGATACATTGCATTCCTATAAGTTAATGTTCGGACCTCATCTTTTAACATTTCCTACAACAAATAAATTATAAATGTAAAAGTTTAATCATAAAATCTCAAAATTTTTTTAGACTAATTGGTACCTCATGAATGCCAAAATGAGCATATGAATCAAAATAATAATCTTTTGATGTCATTTCTTCTGGCCGATATGTCGTTAGTCCATTCATTTCTTTCTGACATCTCCAACAATATTTCCCCAACTTGACAGTGTCGTCAATAGGCATGCCAGTTTCTCCAGAAACAGACATAATTGTACTGTTTGTACCGTTTGTTGTAGAAACCTATAATTACAAACCTTATTGTTATCACTTTGAAACTTTCTTACATTGATAATGATAAGCAATAACACTAAACAAAGTAAGTACAACTATAATTAGAGGAAATTCTGATTTTATTGACTCTGAAGCTACGTTTATTCCCTACGAGAAAAATCCCGGGAAATCTCACATTTCAATAATAATTTATCATGTCAGGTTTTCTTTCTATTATTTATTATACGAAAAGTTATATCTTGAAGACTCACCTAAGAGAGAAATTTTGAGGTTTCATGCTGCATATTATCACCTATGTTTTACAACTCTCTACTTGTTAGTTCATGTAATATCTATGTATTGTGTTTGCGCATCATTGAACAGCAGAGCACTCACTGAAACTAAATATCACTAATCGCACTTTATTTTTTTATTTCATCTTTTGAAATAAAATAGTATTTTTTTCATAATCATTAAAACTCCCAATGAAACGCTTTATTTTACTTTCATCTTATAATGTAGGAGAACATAAATTAATTGAGCCTAACGTGTCCGTATGGGTGAGATTGGCCCTACACTTTTAGTTACTTACTAGAAAATATATTAAATTATTCAAATTTATGATATTCCTGTATGATCTTTTTATCCATATAAAATTCTATTTTACTATCTCATCCCGGAATTTCCCGGGATCCCGGGAAAAGAAATTATTTTTCCCGTAATCCTGCTGGAGGCAATTTCCCAAGAAATAAGAAACCCTAATCACCACTAATTTGATAAAAAAAAACAAGTAAAACAACAGGTTTTTGCCAGTGACTAACTAACTGAAATAAACAAATAACTTATAGAAAGAGCTTTCACAATTACTTTGACATATGACCACTGATGGTCCCTTATCAAGCCTTGGATAACATTCCATTAAATAAAAAAGTGTATGTCCAAAAAGAGTAAGTACTGCAAATTCCAAGAAGCTTTGCACAAAATAGAGGAGAAACTGATTATATTAGTAAAATAATGGTCTTCACTCTAAAATTATCAAGATATTTATTAATATGTTTGTTACACATTGAATTTCTTCCCTGAAACATACACATTCTTTATCAGATAACGTGCATTTAAAATTGATTTTAAAACACAAAGATGCTACTTATGAAGAGTTTAATTATGATAGGTTTGTTTTTCTGCATGACCCTTTTGTACAAAACAGTTTACTATCTTTAAATACTCATTAAATTTCACCTATCATGTATCATTATGAGTCTCCAAATAGATTTATTTTTATTATAAGTAATAAAAATATAAAGCATTTTTACACAGTGGTTGTTTGGCTATACTTAGGCTAATATTTTAATATTTAAGCGATTAGACCTTTTTCTTTTGATCAAAAAATATGGGAAGAAATTAAACACATTAAGCACCACAATAGATAGGCATAAATTATCACTCTGGGCCATCCTCTTTTTTATGACCAATATAAAACAAATTTGATGGCCATTTAATATAATTTTGCCTGCATTGTTAAACATTTATTTCTTGATTTTTAGGAGTGTTGCAGAATTGCAACACATGGTCTAAATGAATTTTTCTGATTATTTTACACCATCTTGTATGTTAATCATCAGGTCTAGAATTGAATTTGACATAACTTCTACTATAATCAAACTTACTTAAATGGACCATTACAAATCAAAGAAAAATACAATAATCACTAAAAAAAAACAAATTGTTTCTTGAATATCTTTTTGTTATGTATTTACATGATATTGTACTTATCACATTCATTGCAAAAAGAAAAAAAAACTAGAAATATGAAATATAAATAAAATTTGCTATTTTTTTAAGGGGAAAAAATTAGTATTCTATCATAAAAAAAATTTACTGGGCAAAGTGTAATTTTCATGACCGAAGGCCTTGTTCTAACTATTTCCATTATATTTTTATGTCTAGCATGTTGCATATTTGCAACACATGGTGCTTAATGCATTAAGACATGTTTGTTTTTACAATGTCATTTACATTTTACCTTGTTCTTAGGATTTTTTAAAAATAAAAAACTGGAGGCTTCGATAATATAAATGTACCACTATACTTAACATATACTTAAAATAGTGATAATTTTTCTTTTTAATCAACATGAAGATTTCTTTTTTCTCTCACCCCATACCAAAGCAAGAAAACAGTGCAGGTTGTGATGGGTCATTACATTTGTAATTTAAGATTACTAAAAAGAACCCACATAACCTAGCAAATGTACTAAATCATAATTATTAGTTATTATGACTAATATACAGGGTGTATCAGAATGGCATTTTAAAAATTTGGGAAATTGTAGAGAATGAAATTTTGAACGTTTTGATATAAGGAACCTATAGCCGGAAATGAGATATAAAGTTTCTACAGCACTTTGCATGTTCTATGCAGTCGGTATGCTGAATGAAACAATAGAATACAGTATTTATGACAAATTTTATTGACAAAACAGTAGAGTACAATCAAACTGTACATCAAATCAGTGGCTGCACTACTTTAGAGTAAATGTTCAATGTGACGACCACCAACTTCGTTACATAATGTGCAATGACAAACCATGTTTTGTCCGACTCTCTGTAAGATGCCACGCTCCCCTCTGATGGTATTAAATACTGTAAAGATGTGCTCTGTAAGCTTATGAACTGTTCCTACAGTCGTTGCGTACACAAGGGACTCATGTTGACAGCACAGTGCCAGTGGATGCAAGGGGTGACCTGAAGGACAATAAGCACTAAGTACACAATGTCCTGTACACGGGCTCAGTTAGACTACTGTAATTGTGTGCTTACAGTCTTCCATCCGCAGCAATAACATGATGCCAATGGACGGAAGCGTAGTACCAAAGTAAAGGGTGGTCATGCACTTCCTACCACTGTAGGCACTTTACTTCAAATTTCCAGCTATAGGTTCCTTTGTAAGTAGAAGNTGCTGACTTTAATAGGACCAATCTCCTCCTCGGTGCGCCTCCCAATGAACATCTCAAGTGGTTAGAGGCGATGCACATCTTTAAATCCTCTATCGAAACCACGTGCATAAATTTTAAAGAGGAGATGATCTTGTCGATGGCCTGGCAAGAGTTGATACATAACACGCTTTAACTGCTCGTTATTTCCGAGCAAGCGGACATGTCACGCATGCGTGACGGATAATTTAAAAGAAATGTTCGATCTTAAGAAAGAAATTATTTAAACAACATTCGTTAATGTCTTTCGTTGACGGCAGTCGTTAGTTTAAACGGCATGCGCGACACATCTTTTAAAAAAGAACTGTTCGATCGCAAGAACGAAGTTATTTGAAATATCGAATTTACGAGCTAAAAAGCTAAAGGAACCTGAGGAAGAACCTAGAAGAGGTTCGAAAACGTTTGTTTTTCGTTTCGTCGTTCGTACCTCACATTATATTGGTTCAGTGTACGTGTTTGATATTTAAGTGTGGTGAGTTGTGAGTTTTTTATATAACCAATACATTAGTAATACCAAACAAGCTTCCGGATTTTTATTAGGTTACACACATTAAGACAAATTAATAATCCAAAACAAAGCAATCTGGTAGAGGAGCCAATTAAGCCATTATCGTCTCATGATAAATTTTATAATTATAGGAGAGTTTCTGGAATTTGGGAAGAAAGGAACAATAAAGAAAAGAGCAATAAATTTTAAGCCTCATGAAGTGGCAAACAAAAGATGTCCTCAAGAATCTATTTTAGACTTGATATCACAACAACAACATGTAATAATAGATGATAAAATTAAGCCCTTACAGTTAAAAAATTAAAACTAAAAAAATGTAGAGATTGTAAACCAATTGTCGGTGATTGTTTGCACATGTATTTTTTAAAAATTAATGTATCATCACTAATTGAAGAGGAGTTATATAGTCATAAACCTGAAATACATTTTATTGAAATGTAAGATTTTAGTCCTAGATTGTATATCCAGATTCAACTCAATTGCTTTTTAATTAAACCTAAACACCACATACAGGGTTCATACTCAAATTTTTGTTTTAGATTCCACGACTTTCCCTGATCCTCATATCCCTTACAGTATAACACATTGACAAAATAAAACAGCATTTGACTTACTATGCACATAAACTATTGCTTCTCCAATTGTTAAGTTAAGTTATTTTTTCAAATTAACAGTTATATATATACAGTAGAGCCTCGATTATCCGACTCAATTGGGGACTGGGGTTGGTCAGATAATTGAAAAGTCGGATAACCGAAAAGTATGAAAAAATCCATTATTAGTGTAGTATACTATTATATCCCATGTAATTAGTATATCGCTATTAACCTACTTCGCGGTGAATTTTCCTCCATGTTAAGCCTATCAAATTTTTTAAAAAAATAATAATCGTCGCTATTGTATCGTTAAAAATTAAAAAATTAAGCATCGTTTAAATACTGGCTCCCTTTAATGGTTGAATGAGTGTTGCCAGCTAAAACATGTAAAAATAATATTAAAGTAGCCAAGACATAGCCAAATATTGTAGCGCCACATCACTAGCGGACATTTGAAATTTGCCGACTAGGACCCGATTAACCGAGGCTCTACTGTATATATATATATATTTTTTATAAATGACAAATTATTAAAACTAAAAAAAAAATGTTTTATTAAATTAAAGGTCATTTATTCTGTTATTAATCCAAAACCATAAATCTACATAACTTTGAAAAAAATAAAAAAAGCAATCATCATTCATTATTTTTTATCATTATCAAAGAATTATTTATTATTCATTAACAAATCCTGTATAATCCATGTACAAAAGTGTATATTTATTAAATTTATCCCTTAATAAATTTCCTTAACTTTATAAAATATTAACAAACATAGTTATAAAATGGAGAGAATGAGGTTCAAATGCATTATTTTTAAGTTTCAATTTCTGAACTGAAGAATTAGTAATAAAAATATAACAAAATTTAGTTCTAATCATTTGGAAAAAAATGAGTTTGTGGGTAGTTTTTTAGTATTTCCAAGTCAAATTTG